GACTTTCAGGATCAAGCACAAATAAGCCTTTTCTGCTTTCTATTCCAGCTCATTAACTGTAACAAAACATAGATTCATCATTAGATTGTTCAATATTCACATTTAAAAACAGACTATTCCTGCTTCATGTATTCATGTAAACTCCATACTTGTACCTTTGACTATATATGCAGTACTTACTAACACTGCACACACTACAATTTAAATTAAAGCTGCAAGCAGCGATGAACGGGCCCTCGTACTCCACGCGACTCGGGGTGCACTGCGGCTGCGTCACGTGCCGGCGTAACACGTGCGGACCACAACATGAAAATTTCACGTAAATCTTTATCGGAATATTGTCATGTAGACGTGTTCAGGGCGGGACTTTTATCAGACAAGTGAAGTTTTGTTGAGATCGGATCTTGTACAAAAAAACAGAAAGTCATCAGCAGCATCATAAAAGAAGAAGCTGTCCACAGACTTCCTTATACTCTCATTACAATATCACTGGACCTTCACAAGATGTTGTGGAGCACAAGGTGTAGAACAGATTTCCAATTCCTTCATCTCTCAGAGAAGTGGAAGCTTTTCCCTTTGAAGAAAGGATCTAAACTCTCACATCTCAAGGCTGAGGAGGACTAAAGCTGCTTTAAAAGGCAGAAGCTGACCCTATTCTTAGTATAGGGCGTACTCTTCTACATCGTCTACTGCCTCGTACATTCATAGCTTCTAGAGCCTACACTCTACAGTCATTCCTGCACACTGGCCAGTGTTTTACTGTGAAATATACACCTAAATCAATTGTTTGGTGCCATACAAATGTAATTGTGGAGTTAAATCAGTTAAGTCAAACAAAAACGTATTTTTCTGCAATAGTAGAAAGAAATGTGTTTTGGGTTTTGGACAGTTTGATGCATATTCCTCTGTTTAACCTCTATCCGACTCAAAGAACAATGAAAATCTTTTCATATTATTTCTTGTTAGTGATTGATACAGCCAAGGGAGGAGACAACGAGATAACAGGAGCAGTATCAATCATCATTTGCAGAAGGTCACTGGTGTGGACACTGAAACCGCTCTGTGCCCACTTTTAAATTTAACGTCCAGTCGGCTTTAAGAGTCTGGACATTATAGTAAAAGATCCCACAATGATTAGGCAGGGACATTAATTAACTTGACCTTCAGAATGAGGATTATTCTTATACAGTGGTCGCGTATGTATGTTCAGCCATATTGTATAATCGTATTGATTAGGTCTATTTAATTAGTTTGACCTACTGGAGTATCACATTAATGTTCAGATAGGGAATTCAATTAAGACCTGTGCTAGAAAAGTGTCTTACAAGAAATGAAGACAACAGTAGCCCCCTGCTCCTAACGAATATTTTCATGCTCTTATCTACCATCTGCTGCAGTGACAAGGTGTTGCCTCTCTGTGATGGTTAATTACATGCTGCACGCCGGCAGAAATGCATTAGTAGAAGTCCTGTTCTCTCATTCATGCAATGAACTCAACCTTTAGCGGTTATACTTTATTTACAGTATTAAATATATTCACCCTGTTGTAGCGTCAGGAAGGGAGACGGATCACAGCAAAGATCTCCAATCATCCTTTCTGACAACAGGGAAATGTCTTAAGATGCAATTATTGGAAAATGGCTCCTAAAAAACCACAACAAAGTAGATTCTTAGTACTTAAACATGTCATGTAATAATTCCATACTTAATTAATTTCATGTATAGAGTGTCTTACAGTGAAGTATTGAGTTTGCAACTTGCTTAAACTTTCTTTTTATGGCCACTTGGGGGCAGCAGAAACAAGCTCTAAACACAACAGACTGCAACTGCCTCACTTCACCCTCGCCTTCCAAGCGCTACGGAGAAAGTGTAGTGAAACATGGCGTGGTCTACAGCCAGTGCTTAGTTTGACCCGCCTGTACATATAGAGGCTCATTTTAAAGTAACAAAAACACAACGATTCCTATATTCAGGTGATTATACACTAATGAAAACACACTGGACCTTAAAGCCACACAGACAGTTTTTAACTATGACAGAAGTAGAATTTGTGGTTTATCCCACCTCTATTCTACCGAGGCAGCCTGTGTAATTATGTAATTATACTGATTCCTATTAAAAAGCACATTCTTTATTATCTGCTTATTATTTCAGAACCACATAAAACCTCATATTCAATGTGTCATTAATCTGGTATCTCAATAAACACTCCAGGATCATAAAGTCAGACCAGTCTCTGGTTAAGATCTTACCGGACCCCCAGCTGCTCGAACTAGGAAGGTCTGCCTCTAGTAACGGAGCAGCTACAAATCCCACTCACCTGTCAGTAAGACTTTCTGGTGTGCAAGAATCATTTTTTAAATTTGTGGCTATATTAAGTGACAAAGACAGCAGCCAGAGGTAAACCCAGTTGTAGGATCTGTGATGGCACATTCTAGGAGATACAAAGTATTGACAGTATTGAGTTTTGCTGCATTAAGGGTATACGATATGAAATCTTCGATCCACAGTCTCCTATCTTCAATCTTCTTCCGCAGTATAAGCAATTCTATATTGAATTTTCGAAATTCAATTGAGATGCTATTTATAGATAAAATATTCAGATGGGAATGTCTGTTTTTCGGTTAATTAAATACACGACACATCAAAGGTGCTTCATCACACGCATGCAAAAAATCCTCTAAATCCAATAGTGCCCAATAAGCAGTCTTGCTCATTGATTACCAGCACTGCTCACAGTAGGCTTACAACCAGGGGACGGACACCTCAAAACATCCTCATGTCACCAAACCAGAGCATATTTTTAAGATCTCTGACCAGCTTTAGAGACAGGACGGAAAATAATTGCACTTGTCCTTCAACGTCACTACACCGCACATCATTTCATACACGATCCAAAAACTGCTCCACAACCCCGACACAGTGCCTCAGTTTACACTCGGTTTACAGAGTGCTCTTCCTGCAGCTCCAGCTATTTACGATGAGCTATATTCTGTCCGCAGAGGCTCCAATCTGTAGCTGTCTTATGGAATTTCAACATCAAACATTTCTGAAGCATTTTTCTCCAAATCAGTGCTGCGGAGGCTACAGTGCAACCCCACTCTGAGACAGTTACGTTGTCTCATCACATAGTAAGTTACATGCTCTTAAAAATCGTGATGTGCTGCTGATTCACAGTAACCCTATCATGGATCTGAATATAGACATTTCATCTTGGAAGGATGCTTCCCCCTTTGATAGTCTTATGCATATTCATTAGCCGTGATATCCACCAGAAGGTTATTATCCATAAATGTCACTCTGTAATTAATTAATCCTGTCTGCTGGTTGCTCTCTCTGCCTCATTAATGAGCCAAGTCGAGCTGATTGTATTCATATTCATGTGTCCAAATATACAGCTCTATTTCAGATTCAGATGCCAGAATATTTCACTTCATTAGCAGGAGGAATCGCCGGAGGGCCGTTTGACAGGCAGGATCTGCGTTCAGATTTTTGCTGTCAGAGGCGTGCACAGGATCCCGTTTCTCTGTTTGGGTTGTTACAGTAATGAGGGAACACGTGGCTCTGGAGTCAAGAGTGTGGGAACGTTTTAGTCGATGAGGTAAAGTTTACTCACAAATTGAGTGAGAATCACCTTCGATGGGTAATGTGGTCCAAGGAGACAATTATGGGGGTAATTTTGTGCTGTTTAGCAAATTGATTTTTAAAGCTATCCCAGAGGCACATCTATTACTGTTGATTTGAGTTTTAATAAAAATCCAATATGAATTTGCACAAAGCCAAGATGAGTAACTCTGGCACATTAGGCTAATAGAGAAGAATACCACAGCTCACGAATGGCTTGCAAATAGTTTGACATTTACCCCGCCATGCACTCAATTATTGGGTGAGAATTTTATCCTTAGGCTCTTCTCTGTTATGCACAGTCTGTCCTGCAAATGGTAATAATCTATACAGGCTGCAAGGGACACTGTAACACATGCTCTGCCGCTATGTGGCTAAAGTGTGTGCTTAGCAGGATGGCTTAGTGAGATAGCATCATAATTGGAAGCTCACATGTCAAACGCCTCCCCCAACATTGGCCGTGTGTAAAGTGTTCTTGAGCAAAACATTCAATCCCCTCTCGCACAGTGTCACTTCTGATAGGAACATCAGCGAAATGTTTAAAACATAAATGTAAATTGAACGACTTGAGCAGAGGGCTTCTTTTGTGTGCCCAAGGCTTCTGATTTAAATCACTGGCATTTGGGTGCGTTACATTAAACTACAATCCCCCAGCAGTTTGAGATAGCCATTGAGTTAACGGGTTCGCTAGCTGGGTAATGTGTGACTGTGATGGGAAAGCTTTGCTTGTCTCATATGAGTCACAGCACAGGAAATACAGAAAGACTGGAATATATTTTGAAGAAGTTATGAATTGAAAAATGATTTTGCTTCAATTATGTATCCCAGAATAAAAAGAGAGTATGATTGCTACTAAAAACTGAAGCAAAGCCTAAGTAGTAGGTAGTAAAACTGAAGGAACTGCGTAAGTATATTAGCCAATCAGAAGTTATATCACATGAACTACATTTTTAACATTTGTGCACTCAGTTAACAATCCTGGTTATAAAGTATTGGGCCATACAGCACTCAGTGACTTGTAATGCCACTTGCTCTATGAGTGGTGCTTCATTGCGTCATTGCATTCATGTTGAGCAAGTTTAGTTACCATGTTTACGTCTTAGTTTAGGGTGTAATAGCACGGCGGGAGCTCCGACAGCGTGGTACATGGCAAGCTGACAGGACGTTCGATTCTCCCGCAACAGGCTCACGAACCCAATTCACGGCTACGTCACCCACCAGCTGGAAGCGTTCAGTGGGCCAAATTCTGTGTATGCTCCATTAGTTTGCTAACATTTACTGTACAACTGAGGCTAATGGGCAAATTAAAAGAATTAACATGACGATGACGCTAGGTGTAAAGTTATGAGATCATTTAAGTACTTACAAGACATCATGACAGGAGGAGGAGCATCTCGAAAGGCTGAACTCACTAAAGGATCATCCGGCTTTAAAACCTGCACAAATAAGACAAACAGAAACCCTGAAATAAACAAAGTTAGAGTGAAATTATTGCTGTCTTCAGAGAGCTGGTGGTACTCAGGTGTATTCATAAGGGGTGTTACAACCCAGACTTTTCCGGTGATATGGCAGCAGTGGCTGGTGAAGCAATAGCGCGTTACAGTATGTGCTCAGATGGCACCGACAGCAGAACCCCTGATATTCACCAGGAGGGAATGAGACTGTAAAACCACATTAAAACCCACTGCTGTGAGAAACAGAGAGCACTGGAGTTGAGCACACAGTTAGAGCACCCCAAATAGTTATTACTCTGACAAAACACAACGTCAAGAGTGAGTCATAGAAAAACAAGAGACGTCCCGCACATAGGGAGAATAGGAGAAGAAGAGCAGGGGGAGTTACATAATCAGGATAGTTTAATTAGAAGTTCTCTTTCAAACAACACATTTTAAGACATGAGTGGAAAAGTTGAATTTTTCAGTTTTTTTTGACTCAAACATTGACTGTGAAGCTTCAGCACACCTTAAGAACAAATATTACTGGGACCACTACAGAAAATTGCACATGAACATTTAACAAGGACAAATTGCAGCTGCAAAACTTTATGGCTGCAATTGTGTTGTAATATCTTTAGGGGCTGATAGCGGCTGCAAATCATGTGCAGTTCATGGTGCTATCAGCGGCCGCAGACCATTTATTTATGAATTATCACCTCAGTATCTGTCAGAAATTGAATAGAAACAAACTCAATTCGTAGTTGTCCAGACCATAGGTTTAGAAAAGTAGACACCATGTTCTCAATTTGACGTGTGTCAAACAAGAAACCAGATGGTAAAAAGACGTGAAGAAATCTACATTTTTCATTTCTCACATCACCTGCAGTTTCTCACATTTACAAAGTGGAAATTGGTTCAGAATTATGCAAGTTAAAGTTGATTTCGTAATGAAGTCTGCAACTCTTAGTATCCTTAACTAGCAGATCTTAACCTCCGCAATACATATAGCAGCAGCCAATGAGGGTATCTATGGGACGGACAGTTCACACAAAACCACAAGGTGGCGCTGCAGGTAGAGTCATTAGGATTCATCCACTGGGCACCACAGATGTCTGTAGCAAATTTGCGGTAATAAATCTAATAAAGACCAAAATGGTGGGCTGACTAATACACATATAGAGAGGGCAAAGGTTCAATTACCTTTGGTTATTTGTATTTTCCCAAGGTTATTAAGGATAAAAGTGATTCATTAATGGTGACATATCTGGGAAAACAGTAATCAACACACCTCTCCCACCAGACATGGCAGTTGTTACATGATGTAGTCTGGTGACTCACACCTCGGGGTCTCTGGGTGCAACATGTTGTGGTTAACAGGGATGAAAGAGTCTCAGCGTCGCTCTGGTTCTGGCAGGGCTTCTCCTGGATCTGTAATATATTAATAATGCATTTCATTTTATCATAAAACACTGTCACTAAGCTTAAATCAAGTTTTTAGTCCCTGTAAAAATAAAAAAAATACATTTTAGATACACGAAGAGTGACGGCCGCTGGCTCATTAATCCGAACAGCAATGAATTACAGTGATGAGCTGACATTAGCTGTCTTTAATCAAGCTTTGTGGCTAATTCTCTTTCAAACAGCTCTGAGAGGACTTTAGGAACTCAAAGTTGAGCAAAACCTTCCTGACTTTTAGGTTTCTAACGAAGTTTTTGTTTTATATGCATCTGTAGTGAGCACACAGTGAACTAACGCTGTCAGCTGCTGTGTGTTAGCTCTCTGTTAGCTGGCAGGCTACAAGGCCAGAGGCAGAGCAACAGTGAAATGCAGGCGTTACATTACAAGATGAACTGAGCTGGTAAAATGACAGAATGAAATATTTTACCTCTTTTAGCTGGTTTTGAAGTCACACTGGAACAGCATTTTTCCTTGAAGCTGGTGTACTTCCTGTGTCAACAGGCTGTCAGGGTGGGGCCTCGTCAGCCGGAGAACAGCTGCTCCTGTACACCTGTGCTATAAAATGGCCGCCGTGAATTCAGATAATGCTCCCATACACTGCTTCCTGCAGCCATACAGTGTGTCTACAGTTAAATATCCCCATCTTAACACAGTTCAACAGGCTACAGCTACTGTGCTTTGTTTCTGAATCAATTTAGCTGATTGGTTTTGTAATAGATAAAAAAAAAAAAGCCATATCATTGTATTGTATTCCCAGCACAGCTGCTTCTGCAAAAGCAGAGTAATTAGAACATTTGATAAAGTAATGCACTTAGCATCACTAATTGATGATGTCTAATGTCTGTGTAAGATTATTATCTGAGGGTGAATTTTTATTTTAAACTCAGCCAGCGGCAGGCCTTTTCTCTACAATACACACTTAATTTTAACTTTAGAAAATGGAAGTATTATTGAAACTGGTGCTAACATATTCTCCAATATTCTCTCCTCTTTACTCTGAAAGGGAGGTAAATGTTGATTTCTGGTCAGAGCCAAACCATCCAATCAAACCAATCAAAGCAGCACTCCACAAACCAATTAGTTTACAATAGGCTCACACTTGTTTCTGACTCCACCTGCGGCAGTCACATTAAATAATAAGTGATATAATAATTAAACAAAATGTGACGTTCTCTTAAGCTTGTGTTAACCACAGAACTTATTTCAGATTCTGAGGCGAGCGAACCAGATGTGCCAATGCTATCTCAGTTCTGGGTTTTAGGACTCATTCCTGCAGCACTCCACAAGGAAGGCTCCTTTCATGCAGCACAAAAAGGTATTTCACAGCTCGGCTGTATATGCACAGACTCAATTATGTCTCCGATAGCTCTGAGCTTTATAATGAAAGAGCCCCGAATCACAGCACAGAGAGATAAAGTGACCAGCGTACGTGACTTCTTCAAGAATTCCATCCTAATGTATTTATCTCCATCTTTGCTGAATATCAAAAGGCCTTTCTCACATGAGCTCAACACACCTCATGTGTTTCTCTTTTAAGACATCACTTTCAAAGACTTACAACCTCAAGTAATTTTGGCTTATTCCCTTGGAAAATCCTCCCGGTGTGTCCTTGAACACTGAGCCTGCGGTGCGAGCAGCCATAAAGCTCTCATTTGTCATCTGGATTGTGTCTCAGTTCCCTCCAGAGCTCGCTTCTTGGGACAAAAAAGACAGCATGAGGACTGTTTTATCGCTTGATGTTTAGTTGCTTTTAATAAGAAAAATAGAGGTGGCTTCATTTTATTCTTTAGCAATTTATGTTTCCACTTCTGCTCCCTGTCGTCAGAGCGCTATGTATCTTTTAACAGCTGCTCCGAAAAGCCAATTTAAGAAGCCTCAGCGCTGACATGACCTCTTCTTGAATTTATATAACATAAGTCAGCAAGTTCTTGAAGATATTAAGCATTCTCTGCCCACTGGCTCCTCCTTTGCACCAGTGAATTGGGTTATATTAAGTTTGACAGATGTGAACGTCCTGTTACAGCATATTCAGCCGGAGCTCCAAACGAGTGAGGACGTGGACATGTGATGGCTTTCATAGAAATGCTAAGTGATGCTTCTTTTGCTGAATTTACTGATAGAAATGCGTACTGAGGGGAAATGTCCCTCAATCCCAGCTACAGGAATCTGCTGAAAAGTCAAACACATCTTCAATGCGCCCAAACGAGGCACGCTTCCAAGAGCGTTCACCTTTTCAACTCTTCTCATGAAGCTCGATGGAGCTGCAGCTACAGTACTTCAAATATTTGCATCCATTCACCATTATGCAGGAGTGTGGCAGCCACAAGTAATAACCTATAATATTTATTATTTTGCTGCTCCCTATCACCTGTTTGGATCACATAATAGTGAGCTTTACCCAAATGCAGAAGGCTTTCATTCATGCACTTATAAACACTTATAAAAAGCACCCTGCGTTTAAAGTGGTTTCCCTGGAAGAGGCCGCAATGTCTTTATTTTTCTAAAGGTTTCTACACTCTGCACTGCTTATCGCCGCAGCTGCTGCTGTTTAAAAAAGAATTCTTGACATTGGAAATAGTAGTTTGACAAAATAATGTTAGTTCTTTCCATGTCACAGTCTCCGTCACACACGTCACTTGTCATAGAGTCAACTCCTCCTGCAGGTTGATGTCATCCACTGAGTTTGCAAGTTAACAGTTTTCCCTTGAGAACACTTAAAATGTCTATTATTTGGGTGACATTGTTTTCCTTCTTTCTGATGGCGTTTCAATTGCCTCAGGAATTGTTCTGCAAACGTTCAGGCTCTCAGTGTAAGCACATCTATACGTATCAAGCAAATTACAGTACTTTAAAACACTTTAAATGCATACGAGTAGAATCATACCATCATAGAAAAACTATGATTCTCGTAGTGCAAACTGACTTTAAGTGAATAAGTGAGGAAGGATAGAAGCAGAACGGTAAATGAAATATCATGATCCTCCATGTGCCCTGTGGAGTTTTTGATGACTCGTGCAAGCAGTTATGGAGCAGTGTTTCTGTTAGCGAGCCCTCCATTAGTTGGCATGTACGCGCATGCTAATTTCAAACTGATGACAGTTGCTGGAAGTAACACGCCAAGAAATGGCGCAAATAGTTTAAAAGTCGACTTTGCAACGTGTTATTTATGACTCAGGACTCAAAAAAAACCTCTACAGAGTACTTGACAATTTACTTTAGATGTACTTTAGGTGTAGACTAACCAGAATTACTATTTCACATAACTGAATCATTTCACGTGCAGTGAGTGATGTACTGTTGCACTGCGGTGAAACATTACATCACTGCTGGGCGTGGCCAGAAGAGAAAAGTGGCACAATAATCTGCCATGACAGATTTATTAAATCAACACACCTCCAATCCACGCACACACACGTACCCGCCGCTTTCCGTCTCCTCTCCTCTCAGACGGAGGCGTGTCGGACCTCCGCGGGGAGAGTCTGAAATCAGGCAGATTAAGGAAGTGGAGGGGTTGTACCTGCCAGTAAACTCTCTGCTGGATTTGCCCATGTGACCAAAGAGTTTTGGTGAAGCTCCACTTCCTCGTGTGGCGGCAAAGTTTTCGAAAATGAGTTTGTCTGTGTGTCTCACTGTGGGATTCTGCGTGCGAGGCGTTTGAGTGCGTGCATGCTCGTGAGCATATGAGAGAGAAAACTTCAACAACGGCAGCAAGGTTTCTTCCCACACTTCCTCCTCAAACTTCTCTTATGGTTGGGATTAAGGTGCTGTCAGTGTACAGTATCATGGGAGTTTCTGCAAACGAAAAGATTAGGGGAGAAACATTACCTGAAGGCTTACCGTGCTATCTTTTCCATGTGGTGTGTGGCTTCCCAACGGCATTCAATAGAGTAAAACACAGTTTGCCTGTGTGTTTGTGTGCAGCCCAACACTTCTGTCGTTTGTTTAACTTCTTATGTGTGTGTGGGAGGGGGAAGTAATCACCTGTAGCAGACTGCCAGGCTACCACGTGAAGGAGAGGATTTCTTTTCTTCCTGCGATTGTCATCCCCACTCCCATCCCCCCATCACCCCCACAGCGGCCGGCACAGCTCCGTGCTGCATCTCTTCATCCAAATGAGACTGTGTTTGATGTGCAGACTTCCTTTAAAGCCCCTGTGGGAGACGAAAGTTGAAGTTTGTTCCCCTTGTTAACAGAGGCCCTTGCAGCCAGGATCCAACAGGCAGCTTGCTGCTTCCCTCCGAGACGTGTGAGGAACGTTATCTGCTGACTTCAAATGAGTGCTGAAGAGGGGGCAGCTTTGTTAAGGAACACTGTGGTTCCTCCACGCTATTCAGAATTGCTTTAACTCCTCCTTTGAGCAGAGCTTCTCTGTCTCTCTGGTTTTTATCATTAAAGCACTTATACTGTTTCAAGGAAGGGAGGCCAGATTTAGATGCAACACAGTTACCATTTAAAAAGGGAGTAGTGGTGGTTTAGGAATGACCTTGATGAAAATAGCGCTCTGTCCTCTGGAAAAATGAGCTTGGCCGACTTCAACGGCAGAAAAATTAAAAGCTATTAAAGTTGTGTCTTTGTGGAGAAGTCTGCTTTTATCTCACAATTGCACCAGACTGCAGCACAGCCCATTACAATGCAGAGGATTATAATGAAATGTTCACCCGGTATCAGTATCTACGACAGCATCTTTACTCATGGAGGTCAGTGTTACATTACATCATAGTGACAACCAGGAAAAAAATGTGAATTTAATTTCACTTCCTTCTACTCATTTTATATTTTTCTTAAATTAAATATGCTCGGGGCCTATTAGTAGATATTTCAGACATTATAAATTGTTGCCTGGTCAGTTATCAAGTTAATTAAAACCAAAATGTCCAAAAATTGAACAAAGAATGATACGTACATTATTTTAATGATTTGAGCTTTAAAGGGTAATTGGCAATTATTACATTCTTGTCTTCAACAAGTTCAAAAATAATTAAGTTGTCCTTAATATCCCGATCTGCCAGTGCAGTTAAGGCCTATCTAAGGTTAATAAATATATATATATCTTTATATTTTAGAAGATAAAACTGCTGATGAGAAGATTGATACCTCACTCATGTTTGACGCTACAACCAGAGCTCTGTTAGCTTAGCTTAGCATAAAGACTATAAACAGGGCTAAACAGCTAGCCTGGGTCTGTGCGAATGTCACAAAATTAGCCAAATATCACCTTTAAGGCCTCCTTTAAAGTGTTTCGAGTCTGGTCAGGTTGGAAGGCGACCAGCAGAAATGTCAAGAAGTCCTGCCGATCGCTTGGCACTGTAATCTACGTTTGTGACAAAGCATCATCTTGAAAACTGTCACCAACCTTTGAATAAAAAAAGAAAACATTCATCCAAAACTATTCCTCTAAATTATTACCTTTGATAGTCGCTACAGCTCAAAAATACTTGTTTGATCCTTTTGGAGACCCACATATGAGCTGGAGAGCCTGTAAAGAGGCAAAAATAAAAGAATGAATGACAACATCTCACTCTCTTCTACCAGGACATGTTTATTTACAGCGGCAAATGACAGGAGTCACAAAGGTTCCACAGGTACGTACAGAGAGACATCAATAGTTCCCACCTCCTGCACAAAGCACACTCAGCGGGGGACGGTCCAAGGGACACAGGGAGCATGGGGACAAAGAGGACACAAACTGTACACTGAGCTCAAACACACCTGTTTTACCCCCTACAGAAAAAGGACAGAGGAATGGTGGAGGAGACCGAGAGGAGGGGAGGACAAGAAGGGGAGAGAGTGGGGAGAGGGGGGAGAGTTGGGTATTTAGACTCATATTCAAATACAAAAGAACATGTACAAATCGTATAGCCTCCAGGCACTGTGCTCCCATATTTACAGTCATCGTAACAGGCAGCGGAACCACTCCATGGCAGGACCATCCATTTGAGATATGCAGGTACAAGGGCTCGCTGTGAGAAAACAAAGCTGAGATAAAAACCAATGGTGTCTGAGAGGCAGGGAATAGTGGCGGAGGGGGGTGGCGGCTCGCAGACACGCGCGTGGAGTGCTGCAGCCTGGGGGGAATTAATCACTGTGTCGAGAACTACATAATCAGGTTTTACCTATCGGAGCGCACTCTGAAACTCAGGGTGAGAGCTCTCGCCAACTCACTCCACGCTCCAAGAGGAACGCGCTCACAGCAACTCGGACATTCATACTTGGCACCTAGTCGTGAGCTACATGACTTGCTGCACAATGCATCATGGAACTGAAAAGTGTACTGAATAATATAAATATTCAACAAAATTAACAAATAAATTATCACTACATAAACGCCAGAACAGCAAGATATTAACTTTGCAACTCTTTTTCATTTAGGTTTATATTTGAAATTTGGACTCTTATTGTGAAAAATCTAAATGGGGCACACACACACACTCACACACACACACTCACAAACATACACAGATGATTACAGTACTTGCAGATACATTCAACAGACATACATGCAACCTGATTCATGTAGGTAAGTATATTCACCCACCCATGCATGTATGCCACACACACACACACACACACACACACACACACACACACACACACACACACACACACACGATGCATTACATTGCATTTAAACCAGATTTCTGCAGCCAATCACAGCATCAACCTGACATCCAGTTGTACTAGGTAGTGTGTTTCCGTCCAGTGTCGTCGACCACAATCCCCAAAACTACATTTCCCGGAATTCACAGCATCACAATAAAATTCAATCGTCTGACACATTCTGTGGCAAAAAGCAGCAAAAATGCATTTGATGGTTTACACTGCTGCGGCGGCATTGGGCCACAAGGGGGGAGGAGAAAAAAAAAGAGAGAGAGAGAGAGAAGGCACACTAATGCCGTAATTACCGTCTCCATTGAAATGCTGTGAAATAGCCTTAGGGCACGGATTTCCAGAAGGGAAAGCAAATGACTAGAAAAAGCAGTATTACATCATCACTGAACTTTGGACCAAAACACAACAGAAGAGGAAAACAGCTTTTCATCTGAGGAGCGTTCACAAAAAAAGCCAAGCCTGTTGCCTTTTTGAAAAAAAAAAAAGACAAATCATTTAGGATATATTTACATAAAAGCTCTGTAAAATATTCTTTTTTTTTTTCACCTATGTACAACACATGACAACATCAGAGAGAATAGCAATCAGACCAAGAAAACAAACAAAAAACAAATGCATCTGAGGCAGATCTGATACAGGAATGAATAAAGAAGAAAACAGTGTTCATTATTAATAACGTGTTGATTTAGTTCTCATCGGCACACTCGTTTGTTCCCGTAGCTCGAGTCTGCTTTTCCTACAGACAGCAACAATTACGTGACGCCACTGGGAGCATTTGTGGGGACATCGTTTTTTTTTTCTCCAATACTCGTGTTGCATTTAACCAACAACTGGCAACAGTAAACTGTACTGAATATCGTCTGCAGTTTGAACAATGAATAAAACATACTAATGCACACGTTGTTAAGAGAATGAGTGTCAACAATATTCAGCGTCAATATAAAAGGCTTTTTTTTTTTTTTTACTAACAATGACATCAGTGCACATTATTCATAGACTGCAACACATTCTTTCTTTTTGTCTTTTTTTTTGTTGTCAACAGAAACCACGACCCACAATAGCCCTTCAGAAAACATTAGTCATCATTTATCAAGACCGAATTCCTCTTAATGATTAATAACAAGGTTCTGTTTCATACAATTTTTCCCCTTTGAAATGTTACCGGGAACAAAATGCCTCTCACAAGAACCTGTCGACACGTCAACCTGAAGCAACGAAACCTCCTCGTTCAGAGTGGTTTACCTCTTTTGTTACTGAAGCCAGCTAGCTCGAAAAACACAACGCTTCAGCACCAAGCTCGGCTAATAAAAGGCATAAAAAAGGTTGCTGTGGTGGAACGCTCGGGCATTGGAAATCGTCGTGGTATCCCGCGGGGAGGGCTGGCCCGCGCATTCGCTCCGACAAAAACAGAGGAAGGGCGTTAGCGCTGTTAGCTCAGGGAAAGGAGGTTTTGCTCGCATTTGTGATTGTGTGAGAAGTGTGGGCTACAGAAGTGACTGATCAACATTTAACTGCATTGAATTTAGTCTTATGTGGGTGGGGAAGGAAAACAACAGTTATGAACCGACAACATAAAGTGAGACAAACAAAATACAATCATTGATCAACAAGCCGTCCACTGAAGCCATGTTTTTGATATATTTATCAATCAGGGTGTCTAAAAGGTTGACCCTTTCTCTCTTTCTATTTTCTCCCTATTATTTGTATTTACACATGCCTTTCACTGGGGCATTGTTATAAACAGATATGGTTTTTTTACTCCACTTTTTTCCAGTGTTGTAGTTTCTCTGGGTTTTGGTCTTGTGATCCGAATGTTCTTTTGGTGGCGAGGGGACCGACCCTTTTACGCTTTGCTGTCGTCGGGCTTTGTGTGGATGCTGTTGTCACTGTGCACTTTGATTTCAATCGTATCCGGCTTGAGAGATTCTTTCCCATTTTCCTCCTTCAGCGGTAGCTTCCTGCGGGCGAAGAAGAGACACAGAAGTGGATGTGAGATTTGAAGCTTCCCATTTGGCTAATGACAGGAACTTAAAACATGTAATCTTAATGTGAACAGGCACGGATTTGAGTGACCACCTAGAGGACATTTTTGTATGAAGCAGGCACATACAATAAATGCTAGCTAAATTAGGACTGAATTACTGCCATGAGAGTGCATGGGCTTAATGGTTTTCTCCACAAAATCTGTACTTTCCTGCTTAAGAGCCCACCAGTAATCACCTTTTAGACCTTTTGGTGCGTGAATGAGTTGCCCCCACTGGGATTAATAAAGCTGAATCTAATTGAAGTGAAAAGGCAGCAGGGATATTAAATATAAAAGGGCCAGGGAAGGGTATTATCCGTAGTCATACCTCGCTTTGGCCACGATGGTTGGAGACCTAACGTAAAAAGGTCTGCTTTTGTTGGGATGACTAATGCACATCTTTCTAGAGTAACTACCTCAAAACACATTAGGGTTGAGCAGAGTACTCAGCTGAAACGGGTATCCGGCACAGATAATGCACTTTTTACGAGTGTCAATATCTGTACTAAATATAGCAACTTTTAGTAAATAGTCCTGTGATCATAAACATTCCTCTGAAGCTCTATTTCGTAAAGACTCATATTCATTTCAGGCTTAAATTTCCTGTTACCCCACCCACTTCCAGTCTAAGTCCCGCCTATTTAGATACAAATACAGATAATTTAGTTGGTTGAACAGATACAGATAACAGCGTTAGAAGATTAAGAAACAGAGAAAGTGTTCAAATTAGGGTTAAAGTTAGGGAAACATGGTCTTGGTTATCTGTAGATAAAAACGTCTCATCACACAAACAACAATTCCCACGATACATTCAGGTGATTATACACACTAACGAAAACATACCTATGAATATTATATTACATTTCTATCAATAGATCCTCCTGAATGTTACATTATTTGCTTGCGGCCTTATCTCACGGAGGGGTCTGTTTTTTTTTCTATATTCCTAAACTACCCCAAACTGACTGACTGCAGAAAATCAGAGGTCAGGTAATTTCATTCCAGCATACCAAGAGTACTAATCAGACGCTGGGTTAAATATATAAAAGCAGCTGTCTGCACTGTATTTAAAGTTTAGAGACACTTATTTTACGTAGAAACGTCAGTTTTAAAGTCATGGTGAGCACCACTCAGCCTGTAGTAAGAGCCGTATAATGACCTCCCTGGAGCCCTCCCGATGCCACAGAGATGTCATCGGGGCTTGCTGAGCTTTAACAAGGAGACTACAAATATGTAACAGAAAGCCAGCGTTTTAAACCAGGGGAGTCGAGTTTGAAGGACATTTACCTGGCACAGAGAGTCTGATGAAAATATGGTATCAAGCTGCATTATGGGAGATGTAGGAGCCACTGGTTTTTGGAGTTTGAACCACACCAGGGACTAAAAGTATCTCTTGATGACACCTTAATGGGAACCTGGAGGTAATAGTTGTGGTGAGGGGGGGTTGATAGGGACTCATAGGAAAGTTTTACCTCTGGTTCCTCTAAAGTTAATATGGCCACTGCGAGTGAAGCCAGGCAACATTCATTCATTCAAAACTAATTTTAGCATTTATTACTATAGAAACACAATTTCTAAGAGCACTGATTTGAAGGGAACTGATCTAACAGATCCTATCCTGTGTGTATTAGCGTGATTATTACCAGAGAAACTCATTTTATCAAAATATTACAGCCAATGTCACATTCAGAACATCATCAATGGCGTTCCTCAGCTCACTGTTCTCTCAGCTTGGCTGCTTGTTGCTGTTGTTTCACCGCCATGCTCTCATTTTTCTGCCTGTGTCGACCTGAATAACATCAGAGCTGGCACGTCTCCCATTTTCTTTTGATTTTATTCATTCAGAGGAAGACAAAAAAGATAAAAACACATGCATATGTTATTAGGTATGAGGTATCTGATTGGCTGACTGCTTCTTCACCTCAGCCCTTACGAGTCTCGTCTCGAGGAATTCAGCTGCAGCACATCACAGCTTTATCTCTACGATAATGTGGCCACCAGATGAAAATCTAACCAGCCTGAGTTCCCAGTGATGTGATGTATGAGAGCTTTTATCTGCATTCAGCACAAAAAAAACAGCTGTATCCTAATGCATTTAATATAGTGACTGGGTAAAAGTCTGAACAGAATAATACACTGACATAACGTGACTTAAATAGCTCCATTTTCTCCTATGTATTAGAGTTTATGAGGTATGTGCTTTGTTTTAATGATCAGCATTTATATTCTAATGTTACTTAAACTCTGTATTTGGATATTTAAAATGGCCCATAATTAGGCAGTAGCTATTAAAAAAAACCTACATAAATCCTCTTTCTATGCTATTATAGGTAGTTTAATGTTTGCATGCTACATCTGCAGAATTCCTCAGCAGTGTGTATTTTATTTCCTCTAGCTGCTGAAATACTGAAGCCTAACCAAACAGCACTTACTGACAAACCAACAGCAACATTCACAGCAGGGATCCATGTGGAACAACGGATGTCTTTTTGTCGCTTCATTTTGGAAATAAAGACATGTGCTGTAATTTCAGCAAGGAGACGTCTCAAGGCAATTTTTCCCTCAGCAAAAGCCTGCTGCTACACATAAACAACAGAAAATACAAAATATGAGGAACATGTTGAGTTGCAGCCCTTTTTGCACATCAAAGCTTCAAAATCCTCTTTTCCAATGTATCTTCTGGGATTGGTAGAGATTCAATAAGGGAAATCAATAATCAACTGGGGCTTTTACCTGGATTCACCATCAGTGCACTCGTGTCCCTCATATCATATTTCTATTAAGAGATTTGCAGACATTCGGTAATGAGCAGAGAACGCAGATGTAGACTTGATCCTGCTCAGCGTGCTTTAAAATGATCTGCATCAGGCTACCAGCAGGCCGGGGTTAGCACTCTTTAGCTGAGGGCTACTTATTTCCTGAATTCACAGGTTGTGCTGCTTCTTATTTTGTCATACTTCCAACTCTTGTTAATCATTCACCTTGCATAAAAGCATCCATCAGAAGCTTTCAGCTTGAGGGTTCTGCTCTACCCTCGTCCTCAGCCATGACACAGAAAACAATTTGCATTTTGAAGGTTTAATATCCCCCGACATTGAAAAAATACAAATCTGTGTAACTAAATATGAGATAAAATGTCTTTGGATGATTCATATATTATTACATTAGTGAGATTTGGAGTAAAACATCCCTCACTGTGGTGTTTAACTTCAATTGTATTCATCTTTAATCCAATATTAGATCAAAATAAGGTTGTAATGCACATAACTGCTGCGATGGAGCTTTATTCTTCTATACAGCATTTATATCTCAATCATATCTCTCTCTCTCTATATATATATATATATATTTAAAGTGCCACAGTGTAAAGTCATGGTTCACAATATTGAACTTTTTATTACATAAACTGTGAATTGACAATTTTAAAAGACATTTTATATCGGCACAAAATCACCCCCAAATAGCCCTCTTCGATGTTTACCAACTCCAAGTGGGTTTTTCAGTGAGTGAGATCGTGAATGTAAAACAGTCACCCTGCGTGATACTGTACCTAATAAGCCCAAATATTGCAACTGGCCAGAGGGGGTTCCCCTTCGGTTGATTGGTGGATGTTAAAGTTCTCGCACAGTGGAGCCAATTTCATGTCCCATTAGCTCCATGCATACCCAGATTGGACTTATGTTCAGACGGGGAGGTTTTCTCAACATACGGGAAGGTCTTGCCACTCGCTGTTTCCTCTCTTGAGTGTGGACGCCAAATCATGGGAATCATGACTGCATTCACTGAACCAACATATAAATACCGTTTGTCAGTAAAAAGTTGATGCAATGTACACTGGGGACTGGTGGAGGCTAATGGAAGCTAGATGTAACAATTACTTATTATCATACAAATGCAACCACCTGCATTTTTTTTCACACTCCAAGTCTCTATTTTGCTCTCATGTGTTGAGTGAAGTGTCATCTCCACAGGCAGCTGATCCACTCTCTACACGTCAACTTATTCCATGGTAATTAATCAAGGTTCCCAGTTTCACTTGGGGCCTATAGAGCTATAGAGAGTGAGGGGATTTGAATAATTGAACAATAGGTGATGTGAGAGATTTTTCTTACTGGAACTAGTTGGGGGCACAATTATTTTAATTATGAATTGGTGGGGCTACTGAAGTTGTAGTAAATACATGAATACTTGTGGCATTTGAAAGTAAATTTCAAGTATCATGAAAGCCAATACAACAGAGACAGCAGGAAATGCCAAGAAAAACTTTCATTATTACTGTCTGCCGGCCAGCTAACATCGCTACCAACAGGGAGGAGCACCGGGCGAGCTACGGTAGCATGTCCTGGCTCCATCTACAGTACTCATTCAGTTCACTCTTGAGAAGATGCATTCTATGATTAAATAATTTCTTTGGCGACAGTAAATCCTCACACGTCAACAGTAGTTTTTTTGCTTCTCAAAGACCCTACATGAAAGCGATTTTTGGCCAGTAAGTTTCTGATGTTCCTCAGGGGGTTTGTCACCCCTGCTGCTGACAGCACAGCTGGTTTTGAGGACTTTGGCACCGTAACGTGGGCTGCAGTTGGCGTGACTTCAACAGATAGACACTTCAGTGGTGCTTGTGCACATCAGACACTGATGTCTCCCATCTGATGATGTGAATTCCTAGTTACAAGAAGAGATAGACGAATAACAAAAGAGTCTCTATCACAGCTACACAGTTTTGGTTTTACACGTATCTTTTTTTCTTTTTGTAAAGTTTTAACCAGTAGTGGAGGAAGTATTCAGAATCTTCACTTAAGTAAAAGTACTAATACCACACTGTAAAGTTACAAGTAACAGTCCTTAAGTAAAGTATGTAGGTATAATCAGGAAAATGTCCCCTGGGACTGTTATATACTATTATATATGATATCATTAGATGATTTTGAATCA